CCAGCCACTGTTTCATAGTACTTTAAGTTTTTAATATATATTACTCATATGATATTTTAGATTTGTTTCATTATCCAAGATTTGTTGGTTATCCTTATTTTATTATTTAAATTATTAAATTATTTTATTATTATTATTATTATTATTACCTTTACTGTCTGTTTTCTATATCCTTGTAAACTTGCATTTGTATTATACTTATTTTCTCCTTGAAAACTGTAATACATAAACGGTAAGAGTAATTAAATAAAATGGAAAAAATAAAAAACAAAGAATGTATATTATAGCAAAATATGGGGGTTGTAATTTGATTCACTTGGATTCTTGAAACTTATATTAACTCCATTATGCAGTTACTAGAGTGGGATTTATTGTATGCATAATTTCATTGCCATGTCCACTACGAATATTTCCCTGTGATTCAGGTCAGGTTGAAACTATTGAACATGTTCTTTTGTCCTGCCACTTTTATACAGAACCCCAAAGTGCTCTAATTACCCCACTCCTGAGCAAAAAAATAGAATTCACCAGCCTTCTACTAACCCTCTGCCTAAAAGGATGAGGCCTGACAAATTTTAGGCTACTTAGCAAAGGGACCTGGGTTTATAAGAAAATAAATACAGGTGCATTATACACAAAGAATACTTCTATTTACATTGCAGTTTGAATCCTTTTTTTGCCTTCAGTGGAAGAACCATAAAAACTAGCAATGTGAATGCTCTTCAATTTTTGGTGGGAAATTACAGGAAATATATGTTGAAGCTTAAATACAGCTATAACTAAAAATCCCCTAATCCTCTCCTAAACATGCAGAAAACACACTGAAAATTCCACCTCTATTGTCCCTCAGCCACTGGAAAAAAACCTGCGATCTCTAGCCAATGCCAATTCATGGGTATTCTAATATACATTAAATACACATTAACACATTCATTATTTATCTATCATTCTTCTGGATTGCCTGCCAGGAATTAGCTTGGAAGATAAAATTTAACAATTGGTTCACGTTTATTGGTTCAAGCCCTGCCTCAAAGGACTGTTTCGGAATGTGACGCTGCGGACTCCTATTCAGCCCTTTGGACATTTGTGTATGGTAATCTTTGAGATTCAGTTGTCTCCCTTATATTATTAAACATTTACCTGAAGCTGGAGGAGTAATCAATCATCAGGGGATTTAAGGTCCATCATCAACAATATGTGTATGTCACACAGCTCTATTTTCTTCATTTAATAACAGGGAAGCAGTTGATGCCCTGAATCAGAAAAGGGCAGCCATAATGGGCTGGATGAGAGTCAATAAACTGAAACTTAATCCAGACAAGGCAAGAAAAAATGCATTTAGGAAACTCTGGAACCTGTTCGGAATGGGGTAGTACTTATTAGAATTGTAGCCTAGGGATATTTCTGGAACATTCAGATGGCCTTTGCCCAGTTTAAGCTGGTGTATCAACTATGTGTTCCTGATGAACTCAGATCTGGCCACAATCATCCCTGCCTTACTTATATCAAGTTAAAATTATTTCCTGGAGCTCTGTTTGGGGCAAGCATTGGAAAGTCTTTTGAAATGGCAATTGGTTCAGAGTATAGTAGCAATAACGTTCATGGGAGCTCACAGGCAGAACCAGATTACACTAAACCTGCAAGGGCTGCCTTGCCTGTCTATTTCCAAATACAGTTCTTAAATTCAGTATTCCCTACAAACCACCTACTTCTATACCAACCTTCCCACACCTCAAATCTGATAGAGGTCTATTTATATGTCCAAACTGTCATGGGACTGTTGTTTTTATCCTCTTATATTGCATGTCACTTAGAATAGGCAGCATGCAACTGTTTCTATCAATGAATGAATGAATGAATGAATGAATGAATGAATGAATGAATGAATGAATGAATGAATGAATGAAT